TCCGAAGTGAAGAGAGGGATGAATCATAACAAAAAGAACCCTTTGGGTTGAAAGAAATGTTCATTACCTTGATTGTGGTATATACATATGTTAAAACTGATCAAATTATACACTTTAAATATATGTGGGTAATTACACTTCAATAATCCTAATATTGAAGGCTCGACCCACCGGAAGTCAGTCCTGCAGGTGCGGTGACCCAGCACTGACTGCTGAGGTGACTGTGAATCAGGCCCAGAGAGAGGCCTGAAGAGAGAAGCAGGGTCTGATCCGTAGCCTGTGTGGCAGCTGTTGATCAGCACTTGCCTCTCTCTCTCTCTCTCTCTCTCTCCAGGCAGGGCCAGCAGCTGTGCCTCCATTTCTTTCCAGGCCTCCACCAGGGCAGCTGATCAACCCTGGCTTTCTGATCAGGCCCCATTGATAGGCCCAGAGACACTGACTGGCACAGAAACCTACCAATCAGAACCAAATATGGGTGAAGTGTGAGGAGCCAATGGCTGCCTAGGAAGTGGAACTTTTGACGCTGAATAGCATAGAAATCAACCAATCAGAACCAAATTGGCTGGCAGAGGAGGGCAGTTGGGGGCGAGATAAGGCCTGCAGGTGAGGGCAGTTGGGGTGACCAGGCCAGCAGGGGAGGGCAGTAAAGGGGTGACCAGGCTGGCAGGGGAGGGCAGTTGGAGATGAGATCAGGCCCCCAGGGGAGAGCAGTTGGGGGCAACCAAGCTGGCAGGGGAGGGCAGTTGGAGGTGAGATCAGGCCCCCAGGGGAGAACAGTTGGGGTGTCCAGGCCCGCAGGGGAGGTCACTTAAGGGGCAACCAGGCCAGCAGGGGAGGGAAGTTAGGGGCAACCAGGCTGGCAGGTAGGGCAGTTAGGGGTGACCAGGCCCGCAGGGGAGGGCAGTTGGGGAGGATTGGGCCAGCAGGTATCGCAGTTGGGGGCGATTGAGCCAGGAGGGGAGCAGTTAGGTGTTGATCAGGCTGGCAGAGGAGTGGTTAGGGGTGATCAGGCTGGCAGGCAGAAGCGGTTAGGGGCAATCAGGCAGACAGACAGGCAGGCGAGCAGTTGGGAGTCAGTAGTCCCGAATTGTGAGAGGGATGTCTGACTGCCAGTTTAGGTCCTGTGGGATTGGGCCTAAACTGGCAGTCGGACATCCCCTGAGGGGTCCCAGATTGGAGAGGGTGCAGGCTGGACTGAGGGACACCCTTCCCCCCCCCCCACCAGTGCATGAATTTTGTGCACTGTGCCTCTAGTAATTAATAAAAGACAAATGCCATACCTAAGACATTGATCATCAAATCTTTATGCTCAACAACTTATATCCCTTCTACAGTTCTCAATCAGAGATGAATTAAAAAATAACTTTCTTTTCTTTATTCTTCCTATTCCAATGTCCCAAATGCTAAGAAAAATGAATACAGAAAACACTGAGGAGGCTCTCAGATGCATCTCCGTACTTCCTCTACCAAGTACACTGGCTGCATCTAAGTCCAGCTTCTCTATCTTATAGTATTTTCTGCCACATGAAAGGGAGACTCATTTACTCTCCTTCTCATCAGACACCAGACTTGTCTCTATTGGATACATTTATATCTACTCAAAGAGTCATGCTGTGTGTGTGAAGAGAAAAACCAACAAAACCTTCTTAGAGTCAGAACTACATTTGCTCAAAACTTCTGATTAAGATGGAATTAACTGACATCTTCAGAACATTTCACTCCAAAGCTACAAAATATACATTCTTCTCAAGTGCACATAGGACATTTTCAAAGATAGACTACATATTAGGACACACACTAAGTCCCTACAAATTCAAAAAGATTGAAATCATATCAAGCGTCTTCCCAGATCACAGTGGCATAAAATTATAAACCAACTAAAATTTAAAAAAATCAAAAACATGGAGGCTAAATAGCATGCTATTAAACAATTAATGGGTTACCAAAGAGATCAAAGAAGAAATAAAAAACATTCTGGAAACAAACAACGTGAAAACATAACACTACTAAATCTATGGGACACAATGAAAGCAGTCCTGAGAGGGAAGTTTATAGCACTGCAGGCCTACCTCAAAAAATAACAAAAACTGGTAATAAGTTATCTAACCCTGCTGCTGCTTAAAGAACTAGAAAGAGAGCCCAGAGTAAGTAGAAGGAAGGAAATAATAAAGATCAGAGTCGAAATAAATAACAGAGAGACAAAAAAAAAAGATACAAAAGATCACTAGAACCAAGAGCTGGTTCTTTGAAAGGATTAACAAGATTGATGAACCTCTAGCCAGGCTCACCAAGATACAAATAAAGAGGACCCAAATAAACAAAATCAGAAATGAAAGAGGTGAAGTAACAACAGACCCCACAGAAATACAAAGAATTGTTTTAAAAAATACTACAAACAACTCTATTCCAACAAACAGGACAACCTAGATGAAATGGGCACATTCCTAGAAAAATCAGGAAGAATCAGAAAATCTGAATAGGCCAGTAACTACCAGTGAAATTGAAGCAGTCATCAAAAAACTTCCAGCAAACAAAAGCCCAGGTCTGGACAGCTTCACAGGGTAGTTTTACCAAATATTCAAAGAAGAACTAACACTGATCCTCCTCAGACTATTCAAAAAATTCAAGAGGAAGGAATACTTCCAAGCTCTTTCTATGAAGCCAGCATTACCCTAATCCAGATAAAGACACTACATAAAAATCTTAGGCAGCAAAATATCAGACTTATGTTGTAGCAATATCTTTACCCATACATCTTCTAGGACAATGGAAACTAAGGAGAAAATAAACACATGGGACTACATCAAAATAAAAAGCTTCTGCACAGCAAGAGAAATCATCAACAAAACAACAAGAGTACCCACTGCATGGGAGAATGTATTTGCCAATGTTATAGACAATAAGGGTTTAAGCTCCAAAATTTATAGGGAACTCATACAACTTAACAAAAGGAAGATAAACAACCCAATCAAAAATGGGGGGAAAGACCTAAATAGACACTTTCAAAAGTGGACATACAGATGACCAAGAGACATATAAAGAAATGCTCCAAGTCACTAGTCATCCAAGAGATGCAAATCAAAACAACAATGAGGTACCATCTCACACCTGTCAGAATGGCTATCATCAACAATTCAACAAAAGACAAGTACTAGCGAGGATGTGGAGAAAAAGGAACCCTCGTGCACTGATGGTGGGAATGCAGACTGGTGCAACCACTGTGGAAAACAGTATGGGGTTTCCTCAAAAAATCAAAAATGGAACTCCCATTTGGCCCAGTGATCCCACTTCTAGGAATATATCCCAAGAAACTAGAAACACCAATTTGAAAGAATATATGCACCCCTATATTCATAGCAGCACAATTTACAATAGCTAAGATTTGGAAACAGCCTAAGGTCCCATCAGCTGATGAGTGGATTAGAAAACTGTAATACATCTATACAATGGAATACTACGCTGCTGTAAAAAAGAAAGAACTCTTACCATTTGCAATGGCATGGATGAACCTGGAGAGCATTATGCTAAGCAAAATAAGTCCGTCAGAGAAAGATAAATATCACATGATCTCACTCATTTGTGGAATATAATGAACAACATAAACTGGTGAACAAAAATAGATACAGAGACAGAGAAGCATCAGTCAGACCATCAAACCTCAGAGGGAAGGCAGGGGAGGGCGGGTGCTCAGAGGTCAACCAAAGGACTTGTATGCTTGCAAATAAGCATAACCCATGGACACAGACAGTAGGGGAGTGAGGGCATGTGCTGGGGGGTGGGAACGGCCGGGGAGAGGTTAATGGGAGGCGAGGGGGATGGAGACATATGTAATACTTTCAACAATAAAGAATTTAAATAAAAGTAAAAAGAAGTAAAAAAAAAAAAACTTCTGTTTCAGAACCCTTCTTACTACTGGCAATGGAATCTGTATATACATCTATATAAGTGCCCTGGATTGATACTTAAGACATGTGCACCGAGTACCTGCATTTGAGTCCTGGCTCTGCTACTAACTATGTGATCATGAATAAGTGACTCAAACTCTTAGTGCCTCACTATCTTCATATTCATAATGGGCCTAGTAATTTATAATTTGTGAAAGAATTAAATGATCTAATGTATATTAAAGACTAGAATAGCAGTAACATGGAATTAGGCCTGAATTAAAATTTGAGCTCTATTAGGGCAGCAAATTTTATTTGTTCTGAGTACTGTCTCTTAGATTATTATCTGACACAAATGAGTTTTTGTTGAATAAATTTGTTTAATGAAAAAGTGGCATCTTTTTGTGGTAGCAGTAATAAGTTTTCCTACCTGTTTATTAATTTAATAAATATCAGAAGAGATTTTACTGTGAAGCAGACACTATTCTAATTGCAGAGAATATAACAATTTTGCTTTAATGTGCATGGAGAAAACTGCCCTATGACTGCCATGTAATTTCCCCATAAAGAAAATGAGAAACATTCCATCTTCTGTTTCCATATGAGTGGTCAAATGCAGCACTCTCTCCACTTCCTCCTTCCTTTCTTCTTTTAAGAAACCATTGTTTCTTGGGCTAAAGTTTCCACAGAAATTATCTCTTCTTGCCCCAGCTTGTCAGGGAAACATTTGCTACCTCCTTTGTTATAAGTGTGTCTCTAAATACAGTATTTCCTTGGATGACTTGGGACAAGTTCAGGAGCTACAATTTTATGCAAAGATGAACACATGAACCATTTCATTTATTCAAGCCTTATACTTTGAAAAATCACAAATTTCAACTGTGATTAAGAAGCTATGGTGACAGATTGCTTTCAGTCTCACTAGTACAGCACCTCACATGAGGCACGTTTACTTTTCCTCTGTTCGTAATGTTCTTAGACTTGATGTGGATGACTTGCATACCAACAAGAGTGCCTGGGGTGGAGTGTCGGATGACAATAGTAGACTAGATCCTGGTCCTTAAACTAGAGTGGACCATCAAGTCAGACCCTCAGTTCTATGTTTCTCCTTGCTGCTCAGAGTTTGTGCTCAGCTCCCCCTGCAGTTTCTGTCACTGTGCCACCCACTGCACAGTAGTACATTGCAGAATCTGACTGGTGGACTGAGGCTTTCTCCAAGTGGAAGGCATCTGGTTGTTTTTGGTATGTGGCTTCAAATCCTTTGTTGCTTCCCTTCTCGTTGGCCTTCGCAGCTTTCAGGAGGAGCTGTAGACCTTCTCCGGGATACTGAACATACCAGAAAAGAGTGGGGTACCCTGTGGTTTTATAGGAGCAATTCACAGTCAGGGAAGCCCCTTCTGAGAGGGTCACTTGGCCTTTTGTCTGTGTCACGGAGTCTCCATTGCTTCTTCCTAAAAATAATAATAATAACAATAATGTTACTTTGGGCATAATCTGGGGCTTTACTACTTAAGAAAATTGTGCTTAAACATATACAACATAATGGAACAAAAGACTAACATTTATATGGAATATTACTTACCAAACATTAACAATAACACAATCACTGATCCTGGGAAAGAGTTCATTCTTAGCTTTTCTGATGTCCTTGGGTTTTGGCTTCTAAGTGTGAGGAAAGATTAAGGTCAGAGTGAGAGGATGAATGTGAGCTCAGAATTTAAGCAGGAAATGTACATGTGTTAAGAAAAGACACCCCCTTGTGGACAAGTTACTAAACTGGTAGGCGTGTTAACCTCCTCAAAACTCAGTCTTATACTTTCACCTCTGGCATTTTTTTAATGACACCTGTTAACTGTCAGATGGTCCTTTGTAAATCAAAAAATACTTAGTATTTTTCATAAGCTTATTTTTTTCCCAGCACACCGCCTGACTTGGAAGCTTTATGCCATAATATTTCCGTGAAGAATTCAATTTTACTTATTCTTATTAAGCCATTTTTAGCCTACTTCTAATTCACAGAAGTATTACATAAGCAATTTTTAAAATAAAAATCAGAGGTATATCAATAACATATATTTAATCATTAGTAGATAATTCGGGAAGGCAGAGGAAACATTTTCTCCACAATTAAACAATATTGGACACTTCGCAGCAAGTGGTCAAAAAATATTTCATACCTAGCTGGCATGGCTCAGTAGTTTAGCATCAGCCTATGAACCAGGCTCGATCCTCTGTAGAGGGCATGCAGGATGATTCTCTCTCATCATTGATGTTTCTCTCTCTCTCCCTCTTCCTTTATCTCTCTCATCATTGATGTTTCTCTCTCTATCCCTCTTCCTTCATCTCTGAAATAAATACAAATATATTTTTAAATGCTAAATGTTCACAAGACAAACTTAGAAAAAAGTATTCCTTTTATCTGTTAAGCTTTACTAACATGTATCTTTGAACAAGGACATCTTTTCCAGGGTACCTCTTGGAAAACTCACTCTCCATGAATTCAGAAAAGGCGATGACATGGTCCTGCATCAAGGTGTAGATAGTAACAAGTTCAGGCTTGGGTAGAAAATTTGGGTCAAGATATTGTTTAGGTTCATAATCACTTCTTTCTCTTCCTTTCCCTTCTAGCCCATGTCTAATCTCTGTGAGCAAGCGGTGTCTTCCTCCTTTTTCCCGAGTTGTGGGGTTTTTTCTGGGGAGGGAGGGTAGAGGGGAGCATTCCTCTAACCCAGTGGTCAGCAAACTCATTAGTCAACAGAGCCAAATATCAACAGTACAACGATTGAAATTTCTTTTGAGAGCCAAAATTTTTAAACTTAAACTATATAGGTAGGTACATTGTTATTAACTTAATTAGGGTACTCCTAAGCTGACCTTTGCTAAATACGTCCTCAATCTGATTGAGTTACGTTCGCTGAGGTCGACCCCTTCCAACTCTCCCATCCACACTCGTCTTGTATACTTATTTCGTCTATCTCCTTTTGTTCATCCTCTCTGTATGTCCAAACCATCTCAACATACCTTTCTCAATCCTCGACACTACATCTTCTTTCACTCCACAACGTTCCCTAAAATTTAAAGTTTTAAGTCTTAGTTAAGCTATAGGTACGTTGAATAAAACTTGATATCATACTTAATAATGATATTATTTATTGGTAAAATTAAATTCCTTACAATATCCATAAAATTAAATCATGACAATGACTGACAAACACTAATGTGAACAATGGCCTTGCATCTCCTTGGAAAGTTTGGGTAAGTCAGGTTTGTATGTTGTTGTTTTTAATTTTAGGCACAATTCCAGGTTCTCATCAATAAGACGACTTCTCAATTTACTCTTGATAAGGTTCATGCTTGAAAATGATTGTTCGCATAAATATGTAGACCCGAATAAGGAGAGAACAGCAAACGCTAGTTTTTTCAGTTGATTATATGAGTCAGGAATACTATTCCAGGTGTTAAAAATCAACATATCTTCCTTCTCCAGGTCTTTCAAAGCAGACCACTTGTACTGTGAACTAAGTTCACATTTGTTTTTCTCCAACATTTCTATATCAGCACAAAGACGTTTAAATTTCGAGCTCCACAGTTCTTTGTTTTTTAAATCCAGCAATAGCATTTCAAAGTTGCCAATGTCAATATTAAAGGGAGAAAAATTTAATTCTGTTACAGTAGCATTGAGAGGCTTTTAAACAAAGGCTAACGTCACTTTGCTGTTTCTGAATTCCTGAAACCTGTTGAGAAAAGCTTCCCTCATATTTAAAATACCGCACGGGGTATTTTGTGGAAGAGCCACACTCAAAGGGCCAAAGAGCCACATGTGGTTCTCGAGCCGCGGTTTGCCAACCACTGCTCTAAACTTCTCTACCTAAAGTCCGAGTAGAAATAAACAGAGTGAGCCTTGCCAGTGTTGCTCAGCTCAATGGTTGAACGTTTACTCATGAACCAGGAGGCCAGAGCAAATGCCCGGGTTGCGGCATTGAGCAGGAAGCAGCCAATTAATGATTCTCTCTCATCATTGTTGTTTCTATCTCTCTCTCCCTCTCCTTTTCTCTGAAATCAATTTAAAAAAAAAACATTTTAAAAAAAGAAATAAACCGAGTTAACTGTCTCACTATCCATGATATTCTTTTTTTCTTTTTTTTATTACTTTTTCAAGGCAACCTTATCCATTATGTTACAGCAACACTCCATTCCTCTGAGGGAATATATCATCCACACCATGAGCTCAAAAGTACATAAATGTCATTGATGAATTGTAGCAGTAGATTTTTTAAAATCATTTTTTATTTTTCAATTACAGTTGACATACAATATTATATTTGTTTCAGGTGTACACCTCAGTGATTAAACATTATATAACTTTCAAAGAGATCATCCCAATAAATTCCATACCCATCTGACAACATACTTATTAGAATACTAGAGGCCTGATGCGTGAAATTCGTACAAGAGTAGGCCTTCCTTCCCCCCAGCTGTCGCCACCGGCTTCCCTCTGGCACCCGGGACCTGGGCTTCCCTTGCCAACCCAGCTTCATCCAGAAGGTCGTCCGGAAGGACATCCAGTCTAATTAGCATATTATGCTTTTATTATTATAGATTATTGTCTATATTCCCTATGCTGTACTTTATATTTCCATGACTATTCTGTAACAATCAAGTTGCATCTTTTAATCTCTTCACCTTTTTCACCCATCCCCTCAACCACCCTCCCATCTGGCAACCATCAAAATGTGCTCTGTATCTATGATCCTGTTTCTGTTCTGATTGTTCGTTTATTTTGTTTTTTAGATTCAATTGTTGGTAGATATGTATTTATTGCCATTTTATTGTTCGTATTTTTTATCTTTTTATTCTTCTTAGAGAAGACCCTTTAACATTTCATATAACATTGGTTTGGTGCTGGTGAACTCCTTTAGCTTTTTCTCGTCTGGGAGTTCTTTATCTGACCTTTTTAAAGAAAAAGAACAAATATTATCAGATTTGTATGGAATCACAAAAGACCACAACTAGCCAAAGCAATCCTGAGAAAAAAGAATGAAGTGGAGATACCACACTACCTGACTTTAAATTATACTACACAGCTACAATAATCAAAACAGCATTGTATTGGCAGAAAAAGACACACGGGCCCAAGGAACAGAATTGAGAGCCCAGAAATAAATCCACATGTATATGGGCAAACAATTTTTTATAAAGGAGCCAAAAACTCACAATGGAGAAAAGAAAGCCTCTTCAATAAATGGTTCAGGGAAAATTGAAAAGCCACATTCAAAATAATGAAACTAGACTACAATTTATCCCCATGTACAAAAATTAACTCAAAATGGATCAAAGAGCCCTAACCAGTTTGGCTCAGTGGATAGAGCGTCGGCCTGCAGACTGAAAGGTCCCAGGTTCGATTCCGGTCAAGGGCATGTACCTTGGTTGTGGGCACATCCCCAGTAAGGGGTGTGCAGGAGGCAGCTGATCAATGTTTCTCTTGCATCGATGTTTCTAGCTCTCTATCTCTCTCCCTTCCTCACTGTGAAAAATCAATAAAATATATTTTAAAAAATGGATCAAAGACCTAAATAAAAATAAGATCCGAAACAATAAATTACATAAAAGAAAACATAGGTACTAAACTTATGAACCTTGGTTGTAGAAAACATTTTATGAATTTGACCCCAAAAGCAAGAGAAGTAAGGGCAAAAATAAGTGATGAGACTGTATTAAACTAAAAAACTTGTGCACAGCAAAAGAACCCTACAATAAAAAGTCAACCGACCAAACTGGAGATATTTGCAAACAACAGCTCTGACAAGGGGTTAATATTTGAAAGTTTTATGCTTATATTACTACCTCACTGTGAGCTTTAAGATGTGTTACATAATTCTTAGTAAATTGTTCAACAAGTGCTTTTGAATGTGTGTGAAATAAATCACACAAGAAATTTGCTTTGCCACTGAGATGAAGATTATTGAGACCCTGATAACATGCATCTGTGACTACCATTTCATAATTCATACATTTTTTTAAAATTCTGCTTTCTGATCTTATCCCCACTTTTTTCATCTAAGGTCTTCTGTCTGTAATAACAATCCTCCACTGCCTAAAGCTGGAGCTGTAATCATTCCACCTGCTTAGATATTTGTAATGATTTCTCAGTAATGCCCACTGACTGTAATAAAAGGAATATCTGGATTAAAAGAGTATGAGAGCCCCGGATGGATTGGCTCTGTGGATAGAGAGTCAGCCTGCAGACTGAAGAGTCTAGGGTTCAATTCCAGTCAAGGGCACATACCTAGGTTGCAGGCTCCTCTCCGGCCCGGGCCCTGGTCATGGCATGCAGGAGGCAACCAATCGATGTGTTTCTTTCACATCAGTGTTTCTCTCTGTCTTTCCATCTTTCTTCCACTCTCTCTAAAATCAATGGAAAAATATCCTCAGGTGAGGATTTTTTTTAAAAAGAGTATGCAGAGGTTAAGATTCCTTTTTTGTTCATAGTGGCTTTCAGTTCTCTATTCTGGGCTATTCTATTGTCAATTTGGTTGCATAGAAAACTATAAATCCCCTTCTCTTTATGGTTCTAAGTAAAAAAGTGAATTTTCACAAGATTTGGGAAGCAGACAGGAAGCAGTGGCCA